GAAACGATGTCCACATCGACAAGCTCAATGCTTAATTATTCTCAAGGATTGACGCATAATCATCAGACAAATTCAGTCATCAGACAGTTGATCGTCACATACGATCAGTGCGAGAAGTATTCGACCGCCAGCAATTCGATCTTTTATTAAATGAAACAAAGATGAATCGAAGAGATCACCTGCTCATACCACTTGTTAAATTACGACAATCAACACCAACCTCAGAAAGCAACAGAAGGCAGCAAAACGAAACCAAAAAACTAACATTCGCCTTTTTAGTGACGTTGTTGCGATTGATGAACAGCGTACACGCTTTATCGAGGGACTGCACAAAGCCAGGCTCGTTCTTGAATGCGCCTTTCACCAACTGACGATATCGGTTGTGCACCTCCAGTATTGTTGAAACGTACTGCTTTGGATCCTTTAATTAAACAAAGCTTACTGCTATATCTATTCCTTGTGAACAAATACACTTTAATAAGCAAATCCTTCTTACAGAACATGAATCGCACTCAAATGAACACAAATCCAGAACAAACTGTACATTGATAGCGATATCAGCGATTTTGTCCAGGGCTGCCTCTCCCTGTTTAGCGATATGCTTCTCAAGAGCACACTTCAGCTCATCCAGTCCATTCTCGACACGATCACACAATGTATACATGCGTTCCAGGTCGTCATCCTTAATTGCTTATCATTTCAATCAAAAACCATTCGCAATATCATTACAAAAAAAAGATGCATGAAACTATTCTTCCACAGTACAACACAACTAATATTTCCACAATCTTACAACTCACCAAAACCTTAAACACTGCATTAACATGAACTATCCTACAACTCGAACAAGAAATCGTTACTTTATTATATTTGTGACTTTCTGGAATAAACCTTATCTCAAGCATCCTTTTCTAATCATACATAACCGGACAGATGTGAAATGCAAATTTGCAACAAACAATGAAAAGAAACCGGAATAAGAATAAAACATGGAACTTATTATCTATCACCTTATTCGCTTCGAGGAGATTTCCGAATTCATTCTGGAATAATTCGAGTTGTTTGCTGATCAGAACCTTTTCGAGTGTTTTCGCGAGTACCTCTTGAGTGGATGGATTCAAGTAAAGATCACAACGTTGTTTCTCTTCCTTCAGACGTGTTTCAACCTTGAAATTGATCAATTCACTACACATTCTCTCTGACTGCTTATGATTAACAATGAACCAATCAAACTGGTCAATCGGCCATACGTGAGCAAATCGAGTAAACACAAAACAAAACAAACTTTTTTCATATATTCAGTAACTGGATTCGCTTGTATGAATTCGGCGGCTTCATGCGCAAAATACGCTTCAGTATCTTCGAGAAAGCGCTTCTCGAAGTATTCCCTATAGACACGTAATTTCGGCGAACGATCTGAGTGTGCTGCTGAGGAGGATGCTGTTGAAGTGCCGGCAGTGATACTCGCATCTGATTCGTTTATGCCTAATTCCACTGAAATTTTTTATAATGCTATTATTACTTAATGGATTTTATTCATCCACTCATATTTTACGAAATCTACACCACCAATTTCCGAAGGCATCACCACTGAACCAATCATTTGTCAACTCAAGGAAATCACTCGAGATAAGCGCAGAACAATGGAATCACAAAGAATGATACAACTAACCATAGCACTGTATAACGCCACTAATCAGCATAGTATTAATCTTCTCGCCGTTCCGTTCACGCTCAATTAACTTCAAAACCGCACTCGTGACACTATGGCGCAAGTGTACAAATAAATGTTCCTTCCACGTTACCAACGCCAACTGAATCAATCAAACAACTTCAATTAATCATTTTTGCTCTTAAATTATCATCAACGGAAGAATCAAATTTGAACACTCATTTTGAATTTACGAAATAAAATTGGATTTTTCAATTGAATTATTACGTCCACCCGAAATGAAAGCAAAAATAAACAAACGAACCGCATAAATCTCATAGATATTATCATTTCCCTCGTCCAGTTCTCTCTTGATCCAGTGACGATTCAAGTAACTGAATATGCCACCAGCCACCTTGGAACTGAATCTATACGCATCCCATTCACTCGTGTAAAACTTCAATAAATCCTCTCCATTCAAATCACATCCTTGCTGAAATCAAATCAATTTGATTCATCTGTCAAGGAAATGGAGTAGCACTTTCGAAGATGAAAATATAACAGTACGGATGATAAAATACACCGTTTCAGATGAGCAAGCCACAAGCTGCAGTCAGTCAAAAGTGCGAGTAACCTATCCATTCAAAGATAAACAACAAACCCGACGGATATTCTCGACGAAATTTTGGAAGAAATTTTTGACATGGTTGTAGAGGTCAAGTCCAACGAACTCGGCACCGACAGGTGCAGAGCTGTTCGTGCGTGTTGTTCTGTTGGCACGACTGCGTGATCCTCCGACACGGTTCTGATCACCAGCGTACGTTACACTTGTACAGTATGTATATACGCGACTGAAATTGATTATCACTTCACTCTTTTAACTNCTCACTTCTTTTAATCAGCTTTCGTTTGCTGATGCTTTGCTTTAACAAAAATTCGAATCAAAACACTATTCAATCAAACAAACTCGTGCAAACGCCATATTTGCAAGAAAACTCTTCAATTTTCAATTTAAACAAACAAAAAATGAGAAACCCGAAAGGGAGGTATTATTAACACAATTCAGTTGATTATAATAACACAAGCAAACTTCTGTTTAAGTCTACTTTGAGTACGTTTTTCAAAGTAATCCAATGAGAACTGCAGCAATAACCGTGAAAAATATTAAATTATATCTGAGAACTGTTGCATTGATAATCACTGGATAAAAGCAAATATCGAAACAATAAAATGAACCTGTATAATTCCATATATCGTACGGGCGTCATCGTCTGACGAGAGTAAATATCATTAAGTCCATTTTCAAGATCACCCCAAATATCATCAATCGAAGGTGCTGATCTTGTACCCATTCTATAAGCTTTATGTTCGCTTTCGTTTATCTGTCGTATTAATCGCAAAAAAACAATGTAATCTGCGCTTATTATCGGTTGATTTCAACGATTAACCGGATAATAGCAACAGATATAAACACGTAGTTCACTCCTATAACAGACAAGTTACGCACTTCGATAATTTATTCATCAGTTGAGAAACAACTTGACGAAGCAAAATTGCAATCAAACGAGATTATATCACTCCAACTGACAGCACCAAAACGAACCAATCGACTACTAAAGATGATGCGAATAAGTAAAAATAACTCATCAAAAAGCAAAACGATGGAATGAGGAAATGAACAAGAAGCGCCATTACTAGTGCAAAAATGCAAAATAAGCGAACGTCGTTTGAACGAGGATGCTTTTTTGTGTGTTTCACCTGCTCGTAACTGATCTAATATCTCAACAATCACCTCATATTATTCACCTGTTCGTAATCACCTGAACTTGTTGGCGAGATTTTTGAATATGGAACAAATAAATAAGTTGAAAACGAAACGTTCAGGCAAGTAAAGTCCACAGAAATCAGGTGAAAGCAATAGATTCTAACAACCACAAAATAAAACAACGAAACATGTCATATCCCCTCGAGGGATTATTGTACTTACAACGTGATGAACGCTGGGTGCAAGAAGCTGTTAGCATCTTTTCGTGTTCACTTTGCCACAATCTCTCGATCGCTTTTAAAATATTCAATAAAAATAAAATATTCAATAGGGAATCAATCGTGTGTGATTTTTCCAGAGGAGTCAACCAAGAGCTGATTTGCCTCGTTCAGACTGTTTAGCAGTAGGAAGTCCTCTCTCCGAGGACCGTCATCGCTATTCGAAAACAATCATTTCAAGCGTTCTTGAATCTCTTAATTATTTGAATTTCAGTGAATGGCTCAAATCAGTGGATCGAAATTATCAAGTGAATTGGCTGAGATTGACGTGGAATTAGAGAAAATCAATGAAGAAATTCGAACGTTAAAAAAACGAAAACAAATTTTGCTTGACAAGAAGCTAACGGTACGTTTGAGTCAGTTTGAATCAGTTCAGCAACTGAGTGTATTAGCTCTTAGACGGGATGACGGAATCGCCTGACCCTTCGTCCCCACAATACACTCGCTTTTGTTTCTAGTTTTACCCGACAATTTATGTCCCAGCCCAGCAGGTTTTGTCTCGGCTTGGCAAAACTTGGACCGACGCGGCAAACCTTGTTCGAGTTCGGCGAGACTTGGCTAGTCCCAGCAATTTTTGCCTAGGTCCGGTCACGGAACTCCTGACCCAGTGGCTCAAACGCTGCAGTTACTCACTTCCTATGTTCATTCCATCTGAGCTGAGTTTGTTTGAGCCTTGGTGGGTTTATTATTTGGCGATGATTAGTTTGTGATTTTTNTTTTGATATGAGCTGTTAAAATTACCAATGAGAGGTTGTAATTAGAGGATAAGCAGTTTAAAGAAGTTCACGAGGATATTGTTCAGATCGAAAGGCGTATCGAGGAGAGAAATGATACGGCTAATGATGATATATCGCACTGGGAAAGTGATACATTTCCATGGTCATCTCAGTCTTACGCTGTTCTTAAAAATGTCTTTAAACTCGATCATTTCCGACCACTTCAAAGGTTGATTTCTTTGGAATACATATTTCTGAGTGAATAGAGTTTTGATCAGCTCAATACTTCACTTATAACTGAACTTATTTTCGCTTTCCATTATTATTTGTCATCTTCACAAACGTTCACTTAAAACGAGCCATACCATAAATAGAGATGAAATGAGTCGGGATTCGCTTCCAACCGTTAATCACCCAAATTCGAGTCTTTACTCAGTTACTCAAATCGAAAATATTTCGTTGATATAGAATACATCAATGACAACAGTTTAAGGTCAGTGATCAATGCGGTTTTATCGAAGGAAGATGCCTTGATTATAATGAGCACCGGAGGCGGAAAGAGTCTTTGTTATCAACTACCAGCTGTGTTGCTGAACGGTGAATAGAACAGTTTCTTTGCAGCAATCATTTACTATTGTCATGCTTTACGTTCATTAGTATGGCCACTACCTCGACCCATTGAAAATATCATCTTTGTTGTTATGATTACTTTTGACATCAGAAAGCTTATCAACTGCAAACGAAACTCGATTAGTAATGGATTTAGAGTTAAGGAATAACACTGGTCGTGTCACCACTGATATCGTTGATTGAAGATCAGTTAATGCAGTTATCAAAATTAGGTATCGAATCAGCAACACTCAACCAATCAACATCTCCACAAGAAGTAAATAGTTTACTATTAATATGTTCTTTTTATGGAATATTGCACGAGAGAGCTTATAAACTGTTCACTTCCGTCATCATTCTTTTTTCATTTGAAGGCGACTCGAATCCAGAAAGCTCTGATCGATTCCACTTCTTCGTTTCGTTTGTTGTATGTAACTCCTGAGAAATTGGCGAAAAGTAAGCGTATTATGAATCGACTGGAGAAGTGTGCTGAATTAGGTCGACTTAAGGTGAGTGAATTCATTCTCTCACTAGTTCTTGAATTGTTCAACTATGCATGGTGTTCACGAGCAATTAGAATCGATTCAAGGAAATGTTCAGGTGATTGCAATTGATGAAGTGCATTGTTGTTCACAATGGGGTCACGATTTTCGACCAGATTTCAAGTTTTTGAACGTTTTGAAACGTCAATTTAAAGACGTCCCAATTCTGGGCCTTACTGCAACCGCAACAAGCGATGTTATTGATGATGTGAAGAATATTCTTAGTATTCCAGGTTTGATTCTTGACTTAATACCACATTCGTACCAATTTTTCGTATACCCAAATCGTTTTTCAACGAATCAGTAAATCAAAAAATGCTTTTAGTGGATGTGAAATGTAATTACTATTTGATGTTTCCGTCATTCCAAGAATGCTCAGTCAAACTTATTTGACAAATTGCAAACGATAAAATTACAAGTGAAATTCAGCTGCCGTCGTATTTCGAGCCGGTTTCAATCGTCCCAATTTGCGTTATGAGGTGAGGAATAAGCCGAGCACTTCGGACGATTTCCTGCAGCAATTAATAACCTTAATAAATAAACGTTTCCGTAGCCAAAGTGGTATTATTTATTGTTATTCTCGTAAAGAATGTGAACAGCTCACCAAATCTCTTCGGTTATAATTTTTTCCACATTCTTTTGAATTCTTAACTTTATTTCAATAATTGCATTTCTGCGGTCGAATGTGAACTTTGAATCGAATTTCTTGTTTTGATGTGATGAGTGTTGAGAATTGCTCACAACAGTTTGAGGAGCGTTCGAATAATAAAAATATTAACAGAATGAATAAGATCAAAGCTGCACATTACCATGCCTATATGGAGAGTGACCAACGAAGTCGCACGCACGAACGATGGATCAGTGGAGAGGTGAACGTCATCGTAGCAACCGTTGCTTTCGGTCATTTCTATAGTATTGTTGTTATCACTAGACTTATGNTCATTTTAGAAATTGAATGCTACGTTTTGACATATGATAAGGTTTTTTTGTTGAAACTCTTCGCAATTTACATTGTGAAATTGTAAGTGAACGGAAAATTTGAATTTCAGGCATGGGAATCGATAAAGCAGACGTTCGTTTTGTTATTCATCATTCGATGCCTAAGTCGATGGAGAATTATTATCAGGTAGGACTGTTACTGATCAACTGTTCGCTTCTCTTAATTGAAACTATTATTGAGTAGTGCACGATAGTTTAAAATTGCCATCTCAATTGGTTTCTGTAATGGAAGACTGATAGTGCAGGAGAGTGGTCGTGCTGGACGTGACGGCGAGAAGGCAGTATGCGTATTGTTTTATCGACTAAACGATTTGTTCCGGCAGAGTACGATGGTTTGTACTGAGAAAACCGGAATTAGGAATCTGTATTCGATGCTCTCTTATTGCATACAAGTTCGTGAATATTGTGCATTTTCATTGTAATTGTCAATTTCATTTGAATTTTTTCATATTTAAAGGATACACTTAAAAAAGACTTATTGTTAGCTATGCTTCATTGATGTTCAGAGGAAAGAATGTCGTCGGTCGTTGATTGCTGAACATTTCAATGAACACTTCGACAGGTCATTGTGCAATGGAATGTGTGACATTTGTTGTACGGTCAGTGATGTGGATGTGGTGGATATTACTTCGTATTGGCGTACCATGTTGAGTATTATCGAAGAGGTAATTCATTAGAGTCATTTATTGGGATTGATTGGAGTATAGTACAGTCGTATTCACAAGTTTGGTTGTGCAGTTGTAACGTTGCACATCAGTGATATTG